CCTCATTATTTTCCCTTAGATTATTGCAGTATTGAGTTCACTGGCTTCCTGTCTTTAGTATGGAACACCTCCTTGCTGCCCAAAGATTATTTTTCTAGAATGCAAATCTAATCTTGTCATGTCCTTTTTCAAATCTCCTCATGTCTCTTCACTCCCTGCCTTTAGTATAAAATTTTCACTTTCTATATCCTAACCCTCTGGTCCCTGCCTAATTCATCAGTATATCTTTTGTCACTACTCACCTTGCATTTTACTTTACAGGCGCATGGAACACTATCTTCTCTTCCCCAGTTCTGCTTTTGCTCATGCTTGGAACGTGCAGTCCATCTTTTCATCCTGTTAGTCTCAAGTTCTACATCACCTGGTCTATGAAGCCTCCATCACTGCCCCCAAGAAACTGGGTGCCTAGTCATGTAGGCTCCCATGGCCCACGCTTCTTTTTGTTCTGTAACTTTTTATAGGACCACCAAGCAATTCCAAGTTACAGTCATTTCCTAGTCAGCTATGTGGATGACCCCCTGGAGTACATGCAGTACACAGCATGTATGTCAGCAGAGGTGGCCCTGACTGCATGTCTGCCTCTCTGCTAGACTATCCACTATCTTAAAGGGCAAGAATTTGCCTTTAATTGTTTCTATCTCTAGTAGCTAGTTCTATCATCTATGAGTCCACATACATGTCCACACATATGCACACTCACCTAAAAAATAATTCTACTTCGTAGGGAATGTAGGCATAAAATATAGAGGCACATATTAAAATTTAAATTCGACTAAATCCAACTGGATTAAATCAATCCAAGTTAAATCAATCCAATTAAATCTCCTTCAGTGATTTCACAGCTTAAATTTGGAATGATTAGAGAACTGTGTTAGATTTTATAAGAAAATTCCATTTTTATTTCTTTTTCATTTTAGTTTTTACTTAAGAAACTTTATCTTTTAGACTAGCTTTAGGTTCACAGTACAATTAAGTGGAAAGTACAGAGCGTTCCCATGTATTCTCTGCCTCCACACATGCACAGCTTCTTCCATTACCAACATGAGAGTGGTACATTTGTCACAATTGATGAACTTATACTGACACATCATTATGCCCCGGAGTCCATAATTTACATTAAAGGTTAACTCTTGATGTTGTACATTCCATGGGTTTTGACAAATGCAAAATGCCACATATCCATCATTACAGTATTGTGCAGAATAGTTTCAGTGCTCTATTTTCATTTCCTTTTAATTTCTGAATTCAAAGACTTATTACTTTTGATTTTTTTCTCTGAATGTTTTTATAAACACTAGATACACTACACTTTTCTTGACTTTTTTTTGCTATCCCTTACTTAGAAGATGGCACCAGCGTCGTCACTGGAAACCTATGTGAGGGTATTTGTGAGACTGACAATTCTCCCATACTGTTTACTAGCCCTTTTGGTCAGTGACTCATCAGATCTCTTCCTTACAGAGCCTACAACTGGTTGGGACTCTCTTGTTTCACTTCCTGGCCTATTTGATGAATGTAGACCCAGTTTCCCAGCTTTCTTAGATTTACTTGTGTATTATTTTTCTTCTTATCTTTTCAAAAGCTACATTGAATCTTTTTAGTGCTGTTTATTGGCTTTTTTAAATTATAGAAATAATGGAGACTACTATTTGAAAGCTTTGAAAATAAAGATAAGGTATACAAATGTAAACCTAAGTAACCTGCAATACTCAGTGATAAACATTTCTTTCCTTCTAGCCTTTTTCCTATATATGTGTATATACACACATATATATACTAAATCTATTCTATAGGTATATATACGTGAATCATACTGTCTAAATAATTTTGTATTCTCTTTTTTAATGATCATTTTATGGCATTTGTTTTCTTATGATCATTAGCGTTCTCTGAAAATGTTATGTACCGCGATTCATTTGACCAATTTCTATTATTGGACATTTAGGTTGTTTCATATGTATTTTTGCCAGTATGAATAACATTTTTGGACACTCCTCGGTGAGAGGATAGCTACACTGACTCTATATAGAATTTCTTCTACTTACCACACCTGAGCAAAGCCTCTCTTGGAATATGTGTGTTAGAGTCTTTATGTCAGTCACATAGCAGTAGAGACGAGAAAGGAGAAAAGGCACTCTCTTTGGTGGCGCTATGGGGCTCGAGTCTCAGCTCATGTTCTTACAGGCTGTGTGAACTTCGGAAAATTACTCAACATCTCTTTGCTTTAGTTTATTTGTAAAACTGGGGTAATAGTATTTTATTTATAGGGTTCTTGTTAGGAATACAAATATACTAAATATATAAGTGGTATCTTTTAAAATTCATCTAGTGACTAGTGAAGTTGAATTATAACTCTGAGGCTAGAGCACTCTGCTAAGAATTCTCTTTTTAGCATTCAATGTTAGCTCTGGCAGATATATCCTAAGGATGAAAATGCCCAAATGTGACACCTGTGGCATATTTTTAGATTATTTGAGGTCACACTTAGTATCCTAAAACATAGTCTTTTAGATCTAGTTTTATATTTTTCTTAGTTTTTGAAATTCCGTTGTTGAAAGCTGACTACCTGATGATTGCTGGACGACGATATGATTTCCCGGGTACAGGTTATGTTTTAATAAGACATATTGAAAAACAGGGGTAATGTAAACCAAAGACTTTATACACTTTTCCATTTTTTTCTTTGTATATAGCAGATTGAACCTCCTAGATTGCATTGGAAGTATTTACCAGATTCGGGAAATGACCTATTGCTAATTATTTGGGTCAGATTCAGAAGTTTATCTTTTTAGCTTCTAATTTTGAGATAATTCCTTACTTACATAAAAGTTACAAAATCTATTACAAAGAACTCTATTATATCCTCTACCCAGATTCAACAATTCTGAACATTTTGCCCTATTTACTTTAGCATTTGTTCTTTCCCTCTCTCTATATCTTCTTTTTATGCACAAATACTTTAATATGTGTTTCCTAAGGACTGTCTCTTACATAACCAAAGTACCTCTATCAAAGTCAGGAAGTGTAACATTTGTACAATGTTATATCTAATTCATAGTTTTTGTTCAAAGTTCACAACTTGTTTGAATAATATATAGTTTTTTTTTTCTTGTCCAGGTTACAATCCAGGATCACACGTTGTGTTAATTGTCATGTTTCTTTCATTTCCTTTCATCCAAAACAGTTCCTCAGCCTTTCTTTTTCTTTCATGATCTTAATGATTATGAAAAGTAAAGCCAATAACTTTGCAGAATATCCTTCAGTTTGGGTTTCTTTGATGTTTCCTTACAATTAGCTTCAGGTTTTGTATTTTTGAGTGTAACAGCATAGAAGTGATGTTGTGTCCTTCTCAGGGTATCATATCAGGAAGCATATCATATCGTTTTGTCTTGTTATGAGTAACATTAGCCTTGATAACTTTAATAAATTTGTATTTGTTAGGTTAACTTACTATAAAGTTATTATTTTTTCTCTTTGTAATTAGTAAATAACCTGTGGTGATTATGCTGAAACTGTGTAAATATCTTCTTGCTCATCAAACTTTCATCCACTCTCTTTAGTATTCATTAAGCTGGATCCCCTGTCTTTTTTGACATGTCCCTATCTTAGCACTTTCTTACTTTCTGGTACAACAGAAAGTTCCAGACTCATTTTATGGTTTCCCTGCCCCACCCTGGGCTCATTTCTCTCAGGATCCCTAGTTCCTTTTAGTGGAAAATGGTATTTAGAGACAAAGATCTGGGTGTTAGATGTGATCATTACTCTTGTGGTGTCTTTACTTCTAGGCCCATCCATTTGACAGATCTAAGAAATGTACACACACACTGATACATGTGTTTATACCTCTTTCTGTAAAATTATATAGTATACATATTATGGATATGAATGTATGTGTATATATATAAATGAGTTCATACTCACATCTCCAATTCCAATTCAATATTACAAGGGTCACAAAATATCTAAAAACTAGAATAGATGGGACTGATATTAATTGAGTGTAAGCAAAAGGGAGAGGAAGAATTCAAGGTGACTATACATTGTAAATGCTAGCATGGCGCTCCCAACTGTTCAGTGTAAAATGTTTTGCGTACCAACATTTTTTGTTGTGTGTGCCAAACCTACTAATAAAGCCTTAAATTGCTTTACATTTTTAGCAGCTGTATCACAGCGTTCCTGCATATTGATCTTGTGATCAAATAAAACTTGAGGTCTTTATGTTAACTGTTGTCAAGCAAGGTCTGATACCTCTTTTCTTATGAACTTAGTTTTTTGAAACTGTATTGTATGTATTCCTGTGAAATTTTATCTTATTAGCGTTTGACCATCATTCATCCCCTTCAAACCCCTTTAAACCTCGTTTAGCTAATATATTAATTGTCCTACAAATTACCTGTTATACAAAATTTTTATAAAATGCTTTCTATGGCTTTAGCTGACCTTCTCTGAAGATAAAGCAGAAGGTTGAGACTACAGTATACTTTTGGTGGTGAGGGTGATAAACCTGGCATTGTAACTGGAAATGGGGTCATTTCTTACCATAGTATTTTATGTTATGAAATAGATAATCAAGAGTTAGGTTATCAAATGCTAAAAAAGCAGGGGAGCAAGGTAAGAAATGTGACTCAAGATTTACAAAAAGACAAGGAAATCTCCCTGATGGCCCTCACATAGACTGAAAAAGACTATTAATATGTCCATCCCATTCTTGGCCTTCTTTTCCTCTCAATTTAAACATTCTTCCTAGGTAATCTAATTCACTTCCAAGGCTCTAAACTCTCCAGCTACTCTTCTATAGCTGTTGCTTCTTCCATAATTGTAGAATTTTGACTGCTTTGTGTCAACTAAGCTAGGGATCACATTTCCTAGCCCTATTGCGATAGGTGTGGACATATAGTGGTTCTAGCATGGGGAATATGATTAAAAGTTACATATGCAACTTCCTCCTCACTTGCTTAAGAGGACTTCTCTGGCCTCAAACTTCCACTCTTTTCTCCAAGCACAGAGACTAGAGAAACCACATGTTGAACCTGGAACAGCTACTATCAGCCTGGGCCCCTGAATAATTGCATGAGGGAGAGCCACCCACCAGCCTGACATACCTGCTCTAGAATTTCATGTGAGTGAGAAATACCTTACAACTGTTTGAGCAATTACCTTTTTTTTGGTGCTTCTCCTGAGTCCCCTACTTGTATATTCAACTGCTCGCTAGATATTTCTACTTTTGTATCTCAGAGATGTCTCGAGTCTAACATATTTCTCTTCAAATTTACTTCTCATTTCTGGCATTATTATCATCCCAGATGACCTCTCCATTGCACGTGGAGTTACTCCTGGCTACTTCCTTTCCCCTTCGCCCATATCGAATCTGAACATCTTGGTTCTGACGCCTTTATCGCTTGCCTCTCCAACCCTTCCTCTCCATGCTCTTGTCTGTTGCTTTAGACAAAGTCCCAGTCATCTCAGGCTGGGATTGATGCAACAACCCAATAACTGTTTTTTCTGTCTCTAATCTTGCTCCCCTCAAATTTATTCTTGGCTATGGTTTTATTACTGACTAGCTCAATAATCTCATCTGAAAAGTACGGATACTCACGGTATCTACCTTTTGGAGTTTTTATGAGAACTAATGTTGGCTAGATGCCAAGCATTTAGCATGGTTCCTGAGATACAGCAGGACTCAAAACAAGTTAGCTATTGTTAACATTATTATTAGAATTTCCATATCATAACTATTCTTAAAATTCCTTAAAGGGTTATTATTCCTTTAAAAGGTAATCCTATAATTCCTTAAAGGAGTATTATTGTTTCTAGGGTAAAATCGCAGCCCTTAGTGAGCCTGGTTAACATTCTGTAATCTGGTCCCTATTGAACTCTCCAGATTTATCTCTTGTTATTCTCCCCTTCTAACCTTCTGCTTTATTCATATTGCAATACCTACAGTTCCCTTAACATGTCAAACTCTTTGGTACCTCTTATTTTTGTACATGTTGATTCCGTTGCTTTAAACACACTACTTCATTGTCTTTCCTGAACTCTTATTAGCCATTCATCCTTCAAATCTCACCTCATATATCACCTCCTCTAGGAACTTTCGTTGATGCTTTCTGGTCTAGTTTAAGCATGTGTTCCATGTTCATCCATAACACCATGTGTTTCCTTTATTGTGGCAATTAGGATAATGTTCTACAAGTGTTTATTAATGGTGGACATGCTTTGGGTGTTTGCCTGGCCCTCTATCCTGACTTGGTGGGCTTCAGTGGTTTTATTTATATATGAGTCTTCACCCTATTTATCATATTTGATTGAAACATACCCAAAGACAGGGCTGAGTATATTTGTTATATCTGCTGAAAATTTGAATTGAGACAAAACTATGGCTGGTTAATATGGCTGCTAGACTTGTAAAATATGAAAATTTAGGACCTTAGAAAGGAAAAAGGAAATAGACACAAAACTACAGACAGAACGTAGAAAAACAGGGATAATGGATAAGCAGAGAAAGTAGGTATTCAGAGAGGAGAATAAATTTTTTGAGAATTCAAATCCAATGTTCCAGAAAATATTTTTTATGGTTGTTTATGATATGCTTGGAATTTATTACATCTTTGCTTTATATCTCCATATCTTTTTGTTTTCAGCTCAATTTTTTATTCCATATATAGTTATTTATTTCTGAAAAAATTATCGAATTCATAAAAGTTGTGAGCTATAAAGACTGAATAATCAGAAAGTTAAGTGTTATTTGAGAGACATTCTACTAGAAAAACATTGAATGAGTCATCAGAAGGCCAAGGTTCTAGACAAAACTCTGCCATTATTTAACTATATAATCTTGGGTAGGTCGGTTGACTGGAGTTCCCCTCCTTTCAGTTACGTCATCTCTAAAGTAAAGACCATAATTTCTTTCCTGCTTACCTTGGAGTTGTAATAATCAATTGTCTGCTTTGAAAATGTTAAGTGTTTATAGACAACAGACCTTATTAATATTCTGCAATAGAAGAATACTGGCTAGGATTGACTGGAATGACTTCTCAGTCCAAAGATATTACACTACTAGTCACTAGTTTCGTTTACGTAAAAAAGGATGCTTCCCATTTTCAGAAAGGTACAAATATCTACATTTGGAACCTAGGAGAGACATATTACACTATTTATGTGCAATATGGTAGCATGTATTATGTATATTCACCTAGGTAATATTTTTAGTAAAAGAAAAGGAATTGCAACCAAATATAAAAGGATAAGAAACAAAAATATTTACAAAAAAGGAAAAGAAAAAAAGATGTTTCCAATTATATGCTACAGTTATTAAGGGCACAGACTCTTAGTTTTCTCAACTGCAAAATGAGATTTCATAATTATACAGGCTAATGGGATTGTAAAGAATTTAGCACAACTGACCCGGAATGAACTTTGGAGAGATTACTGATTAGAAGTGTGAGGCTGAGGGCTTCCCTGGTGGCGCAGTGGTTAAGAATCTGCCTGCCAATGCAGGGGGCATAGATTTGAGCCCTGGTCCGGGAAGATCCCACATGCCACGGAGCAACTAAGCCTGTGCGCCACAACTACTGAGCCTGTGCTCTAGATCCCGTGAGGCACAACTACTGAGCCCCATGCACCTAGAGCCCATGCTCCGCAACAAGAGAAGCCATGGTAATGAGGAATCTGTGCACGGCAATGAAGAGTAGCCCCCCCTTGCTGCAACTAGAGAAAGCCCGCATGCAGCAACGAAGACCCAACACAACCAAAAAAATAATAAATTAAAAAAAAAAAAAAAAAAAAAGAAGTGTGAGGCTGACCAGGTGCAGAAATGTGGTCCCAGGTGTAGAGTTTCACAGCAAGTCATAGATTTGCATTCATATAACACTCCAGATATGGAAGGATCTGGATCCTTGCATTTGTCTCCTGGGAAGTGGTTGATTATTGGTCTTAATTCTTCTAAATGTCAGCCAATCAGATGGAATTTCTCTGCCCCTCATTTCCCAATAAAATTTTAGATATAAGCATACTAATATTTTTCTGAGTCATTATAGAACCAATCTAGTACAAACTTGGGAAACATTTATCCAGCCCTACCTAGTTTATTTAAGATCTTTGCACAAATATTTGCAGAAAGCAATCATTGAAACTCAACCTATGTCCTAGTATAATTGTGAATAAAATGTGTGACAATATTACAGATGGCTCTAGCTTTATATGACAATGTAAAACAAATGCATGGAAAATGTAATGAAAATGGTGCATAATGCACCCTACTTTATAGATGTTCATTATCTTCAGTGGATTTGTGACAGTAGTTCAGAAGGATAATTTTAACTTTCTTCATCTTTCTAGACTATTGTTAAATTAATTTTGACTATTGTTCTAAATACATTCATTTCCTGTAAGATGTAAAATCATGGGTAGAAGAGTGCTGGGTATCTAGTTGTCTAAAAGGAATAGCTGTCATCGAGAAAACAGCTCCAGTTTAATGTGGCAATAATAAAAATGAATTATGCATACTGGAAATGTAATAAGCAGAGATATTTTACCACAATAAGAATACAAAAATGATGCAATATTATATTCATTTTCAGAAAACAAGGAGAAATAGCTCCTTTGTCATGAAATATTAAGCATGCATCCATGGGGATTTACCAATAAATTAAAACAAAAATTTTTTTGGTCTTAAAATAGAATCTCAAAAAAAGCCTCAATTCACCCACATGGTACATAGAGTGCCAGGTTTATTCTGAATGATGCTGATAGGAAATAGTGGCTGCAGGGCAAGGAAGAGAGCCAAATTTAAGTTCAAATTCTAAACATTTGTCTGTGGATCTTCTATATTTGAAATGCCATTTCCTGGTATAATGCGTTTTAAAAGTTGTCATGTTTCTAAATTTGATATACAATTTAAACTCTAACCTATATTAATATTTCATTTTAATTATGGTAGTTCTTTTACATTAAGGAATAAATCAAGAAAATAGTGTGCCACAAAAGCATCATTTTCAGATGATATTTCCTATGCCATTGTTTGGGTTTGAGATGCCCTGACCCTGCATGTACAGTCTCCTTTCAGAAACACAAGATGAAATTCTAGCTGCACATCTGTTTTAAGTGCAGCAAAGTACAACTCCTTAACCTTATATATGCTAAATGCTTTCATTGACTGTTGAGTAAGAGTCATTTGGGGTCATTCCCCAAGATTCAAAACCAGATGAGAAAGTGACTATGAAAAATCACTAAGTACACATACACAAGAGCACATTTAGAATTTATAAAGCAACTATTCCTTAAAGCAGTTTAACCACTCAAGTTTTAGATTTTAAAGTTTGTCAATTTGTGAGTAAATTAAGTAGGAATGTTTTTCCCTATTCCAATAATTCCACCTGTATTAATGTACATCACAGATCCTAGACGTCAGTGGTTCTCAAACTTTATTTTTTATAACAATCCCCTGAGTTGTATACTGAAACTGCATGTAGCCAAATTCTAAATCTCCTCCCCATCCAGTAGGTCTGGAGTGAGCTTGGGAATCTGTAGTTTCCATAGACCTCAGGTGATTTGTATGCTGGTGAATCACCCATCATATTTGAGAAGAACTGAGCATTTTGAAATAGTTATGAGAGGAAAACCAGTTAATGTTGTAAGTTATGCATCTCCAATTTTAATACATTTCTAGAAGCTTGTAGACACAGTTCAGGATAGAAAAGATATTTTAATCAATTGGCAATATTAGGTTTGGCTTCTGGCCCCTGGATATCCAGTTGTACATTTGTAAATCACATCCCGCTTTGGGCATTGGTACTTCGTTGTTAAATGGAGGGTGAGGTGGTGTGTGGAGTCTGTTATTTCTAATGTGCCTTCCCATCTTATGTGAGTCAGTGCTTCTGCACTTCTGCTTTTCTTGGCTCCTGGGTTGGGTTTCACATGAGCATAAGGCCACTGTCTAACAGCACTTGATGAGATCAGAGTGGAAGGAGATGTTCTCAACCTTAATAAATTCAACCAGCATTATTTTTGAGAGTTCACCATTCTCTTTTCCTGCCTTGGGAAGAAAGGATTTGGTAGAATGAAAGAACGTGTGCCTGACAATTTAAATTTATTTATAGGAGTACAGGAAATAAAAAACAAAGTTATGAAATCTTTAAAGGACAGTATATCTTGAATTTTTATTGGTGGGTAAATATGCTTGTGCCACAGAAAATGAATTTTGTGTCATCATTTACTATCACAAACATATGATTATTTCAGTAACATAGATAAGATGACATGTGACCTTCTGTTTCCTCTATTTCTAGACATTCAAAAAAATTGGGGGTACCCTTTAAAAAAATTAAAACCTCCAGAATGTGAAAACAATCTTGGATGAAATAGCATGGTAACTTATATCTACCTCAAGCATCTGTCAATAAGTTTCATGCTTCAAAAACCTATAAAAGAGGAAAATAAAATGCCTTTAATTTTTCTACCTTTCAACTCTGGAACAGAATATCCCTGACTTTAAAATAGATCATCTCCAAAGAAGGGAAAAATGAAAAGATAGCTTAACATATTATTAACTGCTAGTATTTTTAGTGTTTTGAAAATTTGTTTATATATTCCTCTCATTGAAATATGCAGTTATGACATTTCCAAGAAGTGATGGCGTTTGGTGTTAAAGACAAAATAGTGGGAATTTATACCATAGCAGCCTGATTCTTGCACCTGTTCTGTCTGAGGAAGAAAGTTTTCTGAGGCCACTTGTGGAGTCAGTGGCTGTCTAATGTGACATAAACATGTAAACGTTTGTTACTCTTCAACAATACTGTGATTTGTGATTAATAAGTAATAGCAAATAATTAGATAGCACTAACTTAGATTTTAAGTATCATGTGTGTATGTGTGTGTATTCATGTAACTGTCATGATAACTGTCATTATCTTCATCTTACAGATGAGAAACTGAGCCAGGAAGAAATTACATCTGTTGCCCAAGGTTACGTGGCTGGTAAGTGAAAGATCCCAGGCAACCTGGCAACAGAGTTTATGTACTTAACTAGCAGACAACACTACCTCTCAACTTCAGATGTGTTGTCCTGCTGAGTAGCCATCCTGGGAGGCTGTACAATTCCATCTATGTTGGCATTACTGAAGACATTCCTGTACTTTCTTCAATGTGATTGATTGATGATAAATTAAAAGCCAATCTAAACAGCGAAATACCCCCAGCAGCTCAATCTGGCAGTATAAAAAGAAAGTGAGCTGTCCCTCTCACTAGATGCAGCCCATAGACATGCTTAGTTTGGCCTGTGGTTTTGGCCTGGACAGTGTTTTACATTTTAATTAGTTACCAAAATAAACACAATGAAATTTAAAAGCCTTATACACGAATGTGAATTTCTGCCCTCTCTCAGAAAATTGGATCCTCAACATTGGGCTTTTATCTCCAGTTTCTCGCAGTCCCATCATCTACATCCCCCAGAAACTGGGGCTCAGTGTCACTTACCACTTGTCTCATGACTCCATTTGTGTATTTTACCTGCCTGGCCCCTGTAAACATTTGATTTTGTGACACTTGAAACAAAAACATTGTTTTCAAGGAGTAGTGGAAACAAAATAGTTATTGGAGCTTACAAAAGGAAATTTCAAAAGGCGGCTTTTCGGTTAGAAGGGCATGTGTTCCTAGGAATTAAAGGATTAATACAGAGCATTATTCTGAGCAAAAGAATTTAGGGTCAGATTAAATCTTGGGACACATAATTCTGTCCCGTCCCTAATTTTCTATGTGCCCTCAAGCAAGTTCCTCAACTTTCATGTGGAATAGCATATTTTCCAAATTCTAGGTACTATTCACACAAGATGACAAAAAAATATTTTCATGCCATGATCAATGTGTACTATTCCAGAGAAGATCAATATGTTACCCGAATGAATAGCAGAAAGATTCCATGGCAATATCACACATCCCTCTCTCTCCAAGGATGAAATCATTGATTCTTTAATAAACAGGATCTATCAAACAGTAACGACAAGAACAGACACTAATTTGGTAATGTCTGCTGGATAATAAATAAACAAATGTGTTTAATGTGCTGCTGCTATTTTTATCACAATTAGAAATGTGTTCACCAAGAACTCTCCCACATAGCATTCTATAAGCAAATCTGCTTTGGACCTAGTCTTTAAAATGTTTGCCTTTATATGATACATACAAACTCCTTTATGCTTTGTTTTATCTGCACTGGCGGGATTTGTGCAGCCATACACCCAGACCTCCTGTTATTTAGCTAGTAGTTCACCCATACATTCGTTCGAAAGATATTTACCAAGCGCCTACTACATTCCATGTTCTCAGCTTCATTATTGCAATTTACAGCCTAGACATGGTTCAAACAATGAGGGATATTCAGTTATTATGGAGATGGAGGATGCTCAATGGGTCCATTGTTCTATTTTGTGGTTTGAATGGGATTACTGAAATTACTGAAGAAATATTTCCTCACATTTGAGTTCCAAACTTAGTAGCAAAGTACCAAACATCTTGGATATATGTTGTCCTCTGTGTTTCTGAGTCAAGCTGGGAAAACTGTCTCCAAAGCAGCCTGGTATCTCTGCATCATCAGCTGGCTGGCATTGTGGGGATAGAGATAATGACAGTTTAATTTTTTTTTTTTTATAAATGTATTTATTTATTTTTGGCAGCATTGGGTCTTCATTGCTGTGCACGGGCTTTCTCTAGTTGCGGTGAGCAGGGTCTACTCTTTGTTGCGGTGCGCGGGCTTCTCAATGCAGTGGCTTTTCTTGTTGCGGAGCACAGGCTCTAGGCACACGGGCTCAGTAGTTGTGGATCGCAGGCTCTAGAGCACAGGCTCAATAGTTGTGGTGCACGGGCCCAGCCGCTCCGCAGCATGTGGAATCTTCTCGGACCAGGGCTCGAACCCGTGTCCCCTGCATTGGCAGGCGGATTCTTAACCACTGCACCACCAGGGAAGTCCGACGGTTTAATCTTTATTATTCTTTCTGAAAAATTGCCAGTTTGTTTTTCCCATCCTATCATTCCTTAAGGTCTGTCTCAGAGCCTTTGGCATTCCGTTGCATTCTGTTTGGCAAATCCTTCAGCCCATGTAGCACACTTTGTTTCCCTTTCTTCCAACTTGACTCTTACTTGGTCACATTAGAGAAATGTATTAGCGTCAAATATACCAAGGCTTCCTTCATAAAATATACAGATGATGTCACTGAATAAGGTTTGAGAATGTCGTCAGTGATTTCATCTTAGTCCAGAAAGGTGTGTAATCTGTGATTCTGTTTAGATCTCTTAAGGTTCCAAAATTTCCATTCAGATAGAACCTTTCAACAATCATTTATAAGCCTGCTTCCTTTCCTTCCTAATATTAAACCACAGTTAACAGCATCCTGACTACTTGTGTACTGAACCACTGCAACAGGTTCCATTTGAGACCACAGCCAGAAGCCCATTAATGCCCTAATGAAAGCAATTTGTATCAACTAAGTCACAATGAAGACACAAGAGGGAAAAGGTTAACCCTGCCAAATGGGAGTCTTATTGAATTAAATGAAAACTGCAGTTCGCTCTTTCCTCCGAATCCTGGGTGAAATTCAGAGACACAAGCTACATCGGCCTGAAGTATTTTTGGATTTTGTTTTCTTTTTGCTCTACCTCTTAGCACATGCTTATTTCAAAGCTCTTCTACTTTTATTTCACTGTCAAGAAGTTTTCTTTCTGATTTTGAATACAGCAGGATGGAATGATTGAAGGGTGTGTGTGTGTGTGTGTTGGACGACCGGGTGGAGTCCCAAAGAAAGGAAATCAAGAGAGATCTAAAGGTCTCTTTTCATCAACTGTTCAACCAAAGAACACGTTCTATTGGGTACTTTCCAAACTGCCAGACTGTGCTATTCATCTAAAAGGTTCAGCTCCATCAAAGTCTATCTTGTTGGAATTCTTAGAATTGGAAATATATTTTTTGTAGGATTTATTTTCTTTTCCCTGAGAAAAAAGTGCAAAAAATGCCCAGGAGATTATTATCACCTTCAACATTCATGAGCATCATGGATAAGCATCTCATTCTAGGTCTTAGAAATATAAGAAAACTAAAGAGGGTAAAGTAGTCTCCCTTTTTTTAAAAAAAAACAAACGCTAGGAGCTTACAGTTAATTTGAGGAACAGGTCATGTGCGTGTAAGTATGCAGATAATTAAAGATATATTGGTAAGTAGTATAGACAATAATGATGTAGGATAGAGTGAGAGGGGAAACTGAAATGGAAAGTTCCATGGAGAAATATTAATGATTGAAATTTGCTCAGGGATAATGCTCCATGACCTAATATTAACCAGGAGAATGATGACTATTAGAAAGAACTGTAGAAAAAACTTGAGGCAGAAGCCTTTCCTCCCAGTTTGTCTACTACTGATCTATTTTCTTTACCCAGACTACCTGCATTTAGTCCTCATACCTAGTGCTCTTTGCATTGCCACAACTAATTCTTCTAGAACAAGGGTCAGTAAACTTTTCTCTGTAAAGAGTGTCAGATAGTAAATATTTTAGGCTTTGTAAGCCATGCAGTTTTTGTCACAACTACTCAGTTACAGAGTTGTAACATGAAAGCAGCCATAGACAATATGTAATAATTGAATACTGTAATATTCTAATAAAACTTTATGAACACTAAAATTAGAAGTTCATATAATTTTTGTGCATCATGAAATAGTATTCATCTTTGGTTTTTTTTTTTTTACTTTGAAATCTTTAAAATTTTTTTATTTTTTTAACATCTTTATTGGAGTATAATTGTTCTACAATGGTGTGTTAGTTTCTGCTTTATAACAAAGTGAATCAGCCATACATACACATATATCCCCATACCTCCTCCCTATTGCGTCTCCCTCCCACCCTCCTTCTCCCACCCTGCTTCTCCCACCACTCTAGGTGGTCACAAAGCACCGAGCTGATCTCCCTGTGCTATACAGCTGCTTCCCACTAGCTATTGATTTTACATTTGGTAGTACATATATGTCCATGCCACTCTCTCACTTCATCCCAGCTTACACTTCCCCCTCCTTGTGTCCGCAACTCCATTCTCTACGTCTGCGTCTTTATTCCTGTCCTGCCCCTAGGTTCTTCAGAACCATTCTTTTTCTTTTAGATTCCATACATACGTGTTAGCATATGGTATTTGTTTTTCTCTTTCTGACTTACTTCACTCTGTATGAGAGACTCTAAGTCCATTCACCTCACTCCAAATAACTCAATTTCGTTTCTTTTTATGGCTGAGTAATATTCCATTGTATATATGTGCTACATCTTCTTTATCCATTCATCTGTTGATGGACACTTAGATTGCTTCCATGTCCTGGCTCTTGTAAATACAGCTGCAGTGAACATTGCAGTACATGACTCTTTTGAATTATGGCTTTCTCAGGGTATATGCCCAGTAGTGGGATTGCTAGGTAGTTATATTTTTTGTTTTTTAAGGCGCCTGCATACTGTTCTCCATAGCGGCTGTATCAATTTACATTTCCACCAACAGTGTAAGAGGGTTCCCTTTTCTCCACACCCTCTCCAGCATTCATTGTTTGTAGATATTTTGATGATGGCCATGTTAACTGGTATGAGGTGATACCTCACTGTAGTTTTCATTTGCATTTCTCTAATGATTAGTGATGTTGAGCCTCCTTTCATGTCTTTGTTGGCGATCTGTATAGCTTCTTTGGAGAAATGTTTATTTAGGTCTTCTGCCCATTTTTGTATCGGGTTGTTTGTTGTTTTGATATTGAACTGCATGAGATGCTTGTAAATTTTGGAGATTAAGCCTTTGTCAGTTGCTTCATTTGCAAATATTTTCTCCCATTCTGAGGGTTGTCTTCTCATCTTTTTTATGGTTTCCTTTCCTGTACAAAAGCCTTTAAGTTTCATTAGGTCCCATTTGTTTATTTTTGTTTTTATTTCCATTTCTCTAGGAGGTGGGTCAAAAAGGATCTTGCT